GGGGACACTGGAAAGTAAACAAAGAGGTATTTCAAGTGCTGCATTCTTACGAGAGGTAAGGACTTGTGATTGATGTGTGGAGATGTGAGCTTTTCGGCTGCACGTCACATCCTTCCTTCCATCTGTGCTAGTAGGGTAACAGACGGCATAGGCATCTGAAATTAGTTTAGGAGGGAAAAGTAGCATTTGGATATTACCGTTAGACTTAACACATCCATCAGATACTCACACTGACAGCTTAGAGATTTCACAGGACACAGTGCCCTGGGAGACAGTGCCCATCAAAGAAGTGAGTACTCCTCAAAACATCTTTACTCAATTTAAAAATAACTTCCCTCATTGTGGTGCGTGAACATTCATGTAGAGCTAGAGACTAATTTCTGAGCATATCAATTGTTTTCCTAAACCAGCTCCACATCTTTAGGGAAAGCGTTAAAATTAGGATGTTTCAACAGAAAGCATCTCTTTATCTGATACACCTTCATTCTTCCTAATTTGTTGCAGTTCACTTTTATAAGAAAGTTTGCAGGACATGGTTTGTAATCAGTAATAAGGCAATGAGATTGCTAGTGAGCACCAAACATTTGCATTTTTAATTCTTATAAAATTCTAACAGTGCCTGAAAAGTTATAGTATTTTTCCAGAAGGTCGCAGACACTTAGATTATGAAATGTTGACAGTTCACATGATCGCAAAAAAATAGCACCCTTCTCAGTTGTCACCATTTCTTATAAATGTATGTTATAGTTAATTAAGGGAATATGCTAACTAAGCATTTGTATTTATTACTAACCTAGAGGTGTCTGTTCTTTGGGAAATTAGGACAATTCTGAAGGAGAGATAGGTAACTATCCATTCTGGCAGTCATTGAAAATGATTGCAACCAGAAACTAGTAGGATTTGTATGTCAATTATACATCAATTTAAAAAAAGATCTAAAATAAAACAAAGATTATTGTTTTTCTCAGTAAATTTTAGCATATATTTTCATTCAAAAATATTTCTTGTTACGTAGATATCATAGTTTATTTAGTGATTTAACAAACTGATTAACATTTTAGTACAATATTCACCTGGGTATTATTTTGCCAATGATGCCATCAAAGGCCACTGGTTTCCCCCTCATTCCTCAAGCTACTACTGATTCTAGTAGTTATTCTGCCAGAGAAAGTCTGCTAATTGCAAAGCCCTTGGAAGACAGTGGCAGGAAGGAGGGGTGGTGGCTATCGAGGTTCTGGAGTGAGCGGAGGTCCTCTCGCCTTTCACAAGAGGAAAGGTTACCGCGTGGTTCTCACTCTGGCTGCACAGGAGAATCCCCTGGGGAAATTTGCTGACACGGTGTCTACACCTGGCCCCCGAGTCTGCTCGTTCTGATTAGAGTGGTATAATACAGATGGAAATCAGTGCGTTTTACAGCTGCAGAGATGAGAAGATATGCAGGTAGGGCAGAGAACCACTGGAGTGGGCACAGGTCAGAAGCGAAGTCCTTCGCTTCTCAGACTGGCATGTGAAAGCCCATGGGGATCTCAGTAAATGCAGCTCTGGTTCAGCAGGTGGGCGAGGCCCAGGGGCCACGTTCCAACAGGCGTTCAACCAAGACAGATGTGACCGAGTTCCAATAGGCATTCACCCAGACAGATGTGACCCAGTCCCAGCAGGCCTTAACCCAGACAGATGTGTCCGAGTCCCAGCAGGCCTTCACCCAGACAGACCCCGCCCCCCCCGCAGACCCGCTTTCAGGAGCCACGGTCACGGCCAGGTCACGGTCACGCGTGGGGTTCTGAGCGCTTCCCTTCCTCTCGCGACAGGCAAGAAGAACTCCATTCTGCTGCAGAAGTTCCAGAAGGACCTCAACACCGGCGTCTTCAACCACCAGGACAGCGAGATCCTGAAGCAGATCGTGAAGCACGACCGCGAGATGGTGCAGGCCATGCCCCC